GTTTCTTTGACAGTCTTTATGTATTTTTACACAGTTGCTAAAAGTCATTTTGTGTTTCTTTGTAACAGTGCCAGAGCTGGCAAAAAAAGTGCATGCCACCTATTTGTTTAAAGAGCCTCCTATTTCCTAATCTTCCTTGAATTTATGCATTTGTTTTCCTGTATTAGCAAACATTGTTTCTGGCTTTTAATATGCAATTTTTTTTTTTTTAACGCTTATTTTCTTACATTAACTATATAATACCAAAACTACATAGTTATCCTTTAAGTGACCCGATGGTAGTGAGGGCAGTAGAAACAATTGTTAGGGATTCCAGGCTGTGATTTATTGTTCTTCCCCAGCAATTAACCCCCTTTACAGTTGAAGGTGCCTGTAGCTTGTTTGCTGACACTTCAAACACTGCAGGGGTTAATCTGCTGTGCCCCCACCTCTCCTCCCTCCACTTTCTTCCTCCCCACCTCCTTTTCAAAGATGGGAGTGCTCCCTCTGGTCATTCAGTCTGGGATGTGGCTGCTGCCTGTGTAGTGATAGTGTGTCCAGTCTTGAATTAAGCAAGTCTCTGCCATTTGCAAAAGAAGCATTTCAGACGTCCGGGGGTTAATATAGTTTAGCTGCTTCCACTTGTATCCAGTAACATAGTACAAGGGCCAGTCCCTACAGAAGGCACACTATTAAGTGTTAACCAATTAAACTTCAAATTCTTTTCCCTAAGCATTTTTTCCCACCCTCTGTTCAGATGACACTTGCAGTGTAGTGTCTGCTTTCTATGATACTTTTCAATATTTATTTAATCTCCTATTTTAATTGTTGATGGAAAACCACAGTAAAATCTGATAAACTTTTTACTTTGTTATTAGCAGCAATATTCAGTAACATTCCTTGCAAGGTTAAGATTGCATAATCATTAATTTCTGGTATCTGTTCTTTATCAAACCTTTTACTTTAATCATATCCCATTTGTCACTCATTTTCTTGTCTAATTTTTAGTAATTATGGGGTTATTTGCAAAACGGTATACCGTTCATACCAGACTTGAAAACCTTTTGTTCGTCTCACCAATCTAACCAGGTTAGGAGGGGGAAAAAAACATTTAAATCTGAATTGATGTGTACTGAAAATTTAACATTTGCAGTGAAACTTTTGCAATTGTTGCTAATGAAATCAGAAATAGGAGATTTTAGTTTTATCTTCCTGGTATTCAGGCGGTAAACTTACTCGGCTTAGTAACTCAAGCCCTATGAATGAAATTGATGTCTTTGCTGGAGGGAAAAAAATTTGTTTTTATGTCTACAGTTAAAAGTGTGGCATATTGCTTCTAATCTCAAGATATTTTACTGGGAGTTGTCATCTACAACAGCAATTCTCTATGTTTTTAATCATTGTTTTAAATAGCTGAGTCCTCTGTTACTCTTGTGAACTTTATGCTAATACATCACTGAACTATGGACAGCACAGGAATGCCTGGAAAAAGGGTAGTCTGCATATGCTTGTGACTATATAATAATCCTCATTTCAGTAATCGGCATCATAGGCCCTGTTTTACCTCTTGTCCACTAAAGAGAAGCTCAGGAAACAGCATGTTCTTAAATCACTGAAATCTTATATATGTTTAGGGCCTGAAGAAGCATCAAGGTCTCTGTATTTAACAAAGCCTCAGGGAGGTGAGCAGAGTTCAAAGATGATTTGTAGCCAGAACCACCAATAAAAAAAAAAAAAAAAAAAACTCTGGTTTCATGCATGTGTATTATCACGTCCTTTGCTTTTGTTGTCCTTACCCATTTGCTGTCTTATCACAGGGCAATTGCCTAGGGCCTTTACTTCACAGGGGCTCCCTAAATCAAGATTTTTGCTGAGTCCACCAAAACTCTTATATGTAATAGGAAATTTTTTTAGGAGTACAGTATATGTTGCATTGTGATACGTGCATTGAAATAACATCTTTAGGGCTTATAACCTGTTCACTAGGCAGTTGTTAACATCTGGCTATTAATGAACAAAAACAGTCAAGCCAGAGCGTACAGCCCCACAGGTTGGAGAAGGGATTCTTCTGGTGGAGCATCGCTTGAGAAGCAGATGTACAAGTCCAAAGACTATTTACAAACCAGAAGTAGGCCCAAGCAAAAAGAGAAATTGCATTGATAGGAAGAAGAGCTATATCATCAAAATGGCCTGGAACTGTAATCTGCATTTTGTTTTGAGAGTCCATGAGGCACATTTTTCTTTTGAGTATCCTACTGCATTTAGCCTTTAGGCACCATACAGAATTTGTACACCATATACCAGCAATTGGTCGGTGCCAGAAATTTGCACGAGTGCTTTGATGTGCATGGGCCCTTAAAGTAAACGTGTATCAAATAGGAAAACTGTTATCATGCTCCTCATCTGCTGCTGAAACTGCATCAAAAACCTAGTGCTTTTGAGCATGGGGATACATGTGAACATTTCCTTCCTGTCTACCACAATACCAGTCTTTTTGAGTAGTGTCACATATGGGGCCAAGTTCTTTCAAATAGTATGTATGTGCATAGGACTTTTTTGGATATGGAGAGTGGATCAAGGCAGTCGGAGTGTAGGTATAAACAGGCATTTTTAGTATGAAGTTGCTATATTCGTTTAGAGGAAAAGACCAAAAAAGTCACACTGCTTAAAGCCACAAACCATCTTCTTTCCTTTTGGCTGTTATTATAGTGTGTGTGTGTTCATTTTTTTTATTATCAGCTTTACTTTTATGCCAGGTGTTCACGTGTGACTGCCTATGAGCATTAAAAGGGTCGGGCCAATCTACCTAAAAATTGTATCTTTAATTAATTTGATCACTAGGGGATTGTCCAGTGGTAAGATCTTAGGTCTGGCAGGGCAGCTACAGGACGGTCACATGTTCCCTATTAAGTTTCATATTCTAGATAATACTCAAAGAAGATTGGAAACAATCATATTGCAGCAAGAGGAATGAGTCCGTAAATATGACAGAGGAAAAAAATCTGGTATTAATGCCACCCTCCTAGCTTTACCTAATTTACTTCAATCTAACCCTTGACTTTATTAAATATTGGTGACATTAGTGAATTTCTACCAAATGAAAAGACATGTTAATATGAACATCCCTTTTTGTAATTTGCCCAGAGCTATCTAAACCAAAAATTGTTCAGTGATCTGGAATCCTTTTAAAAAAGATCTTACATTTTGCATGCTGCCATTATGACATTTTCTTACGTACTTATACACATGGGGTTATTCAGGAGTGTCCATGCACTTGGAAGAATTGGCCAAAATATTTCAGAGCAGTACATACACATGATGATTATTTCTGTCCTACCTAAACATCATGTTATTTTGTACTATGTGTAATATGTTTTGAAACCTAATTGATCATTTTCTTTGTGAAAGATCTTGACTGAAAGAGGATAGTTTTTGACCTGTTTGGATTACCATTCCTTGACTGCCATTTGGCATACTAGAGTGGCCAGCTAGAAGGAGCGAGACAAGAAGCATCTATAGCATGCTAGGGAGCAAATGTTCTCTTGCTTGGTCATGGAAGCATTAGAAGAGCAGAGGCACGGGTTGGTGGCAAGGCTTTAAAGTAGCAGCACTTCCGCCAGCAGGATTTTGCCACCGACGCAGGAGATTGGTACCGATCACACTTGTATCTGACAACCTTCCTAGAGCATTGGTTAAGGGGATGCGTCAATAGGAAGAGTACTATAATTGAGATAAATAGGATGACAAAGCCCCAGAAAGAAGATAATGTGTGCCCTTCCTAGAAAAGCCAACTGCACAATCACTCCCCAGGACAGGACAAATTTGATTAAAAAAAACAGTTGTACTATGTACTGTTCCTAAACTGTTTTGTGTATGAAGTTACAGTAACTCTAATGTTCACTCACGCAGTCTACATGCAGTGGTTCTGTAGTGAAATCACCTATTCCCGCTACCAATTGCTCAGTAAACGTAAGTTCTTGCAAACTATGAGCTGGACTAAAAATACCTGTTCCTATAATACCATTTCATTCAGTACTTTATAACACAATTTAAAACCCTACAGTGGACTCCATTATACCTGTTTTAAAACACTTAAATGTATTTTGACAGTTACATGAAAAAACCCTTTCCTTGTGCAGAGGCATAAAGAGAATTCTGGAAATACATGTCCATTTTTTAAAAAAGTACACCAGATGCATATATTGAGATCCCATAATTTTGGAAGAAAAGCACTTAATCCCTGACATGAGCAGGAGTAAGTTTTTTGAGAGAACCTGTCTGATTCCGCATCATACCTTCCAAACACACCAAGAAAACCATGTTGACTCAAAAGCTGCCTTTTTAAAATTGTAATTATGTAAAATATTGGACTGAGACTATTGCAGTAAGCCTTTCCTCAAGCTTGGCTGTACACTAGATCTAGGAGAATGAAGCATCTGTTCAACTTCTCTGTAACTGACAGGACAAGTGAGGCCTTGGAGAGGGAAACTGCTGTCAAAAGCTTCTCAATCAGGTATATAACAAGATGACAGAGTCCTCAAATCTCACCAGTAATCCAGTAAAAAGTTTACCTTCAGTCCTGTGTGTTGCTAGTTAATACTAAGGCCGCTTTCACTTTGACATGCTGCGGTTTGGCCTCCATTTTTGGCACATTTCTGAACGTGCATGAAAAGTCCTGCATGCTGCATCTTTGGTACACTTTCAGAAAATGCACCAAAAGGGCAGGACATAATAGAAGTCTATGGGATACCGCGGGTGACCTGCATGAAAACCGCAAGGACACTGAGTTGCACCTGCACTGTGGCCAAACTGCAGAGCAGCAGTGTGAAAGCAGTCTAATTTACAGCATTCTGGCATACGATCAACCAATATCTTGTTTATACAAATACAAAGTTGTAAGATTTTTAACTGATGCAAATCTTTTAATCTTCTATAGACATTTAATTGCTGGCTTATATTTCCCGCTTTCAATTGTTATATTTTATACAAACTGATTTTTCTCTTCACTGTTTTTTTTCTAGATACGTTGGCATCAATGCATCAGACATCAACTTTTCATCTGGAAGATATGATGCCTCAGTGAAGCCTCCATTCGATATTGGTTTTGAAGGCATTGGAGAGGTTGTAGCATTGGGACTGAGTGCTAGTAAAAACTTTGCAGTTGGCCAGCCAGTTGCTTATGTCCAAAGTGGCTCCTTTGCCGAGTATACAGTTGTGCCAGCTCAAGTGGCTATTCCAGTTCCTTCACTAACACCTGAATTCCTAACTGTTCTCATCAGTGGCACTACAGCGTACATCAGTCTTAAAGAGTTTGGGGATCTGAGCAAAGGAAAGAGAGTTTTGGTGACAGCTGCTGCTGGTGGAACAGGACAGTTTGCTGTGCAGCTTGCAAAAAATGCAAACTGCTATGTTATAGGGACATGTTCTTCTGATGAAAAAGCAGGGTTCTTAAAATCTATTGGCTGTGATCTCCCAATCAATTATAAGGCAGAAAATGTTGCTTCCGTCATAAAGGAAAAATTTCCAGAAGGAGTAGATGTTGTGTACGAGTCTGTTGGTGGGGAAATGTTTGATTTGTCTGTAAAATGTCTGGCCACCAAAGGTCACCTTATAATAATAGGCTTTATCTCAGGGTATAAAACCCCTCTAGGTATTTTGCCTGTTAAAGAAGCAGCCCTGCCTGCAGTATTACTAAAAAAATCTGCTAGCATCCATGGCTTTTTCTTGACCCATTATATGTCTGAGTACAAGGAGGCCATTATGTCTTTGGTGAAATTGCACCGAAGTGGGAAGCTAGTTTGTGAAGTGGACAATGGAGAACTATCTCCAGAAGGCAAGTTTACTGGCTTGGAGTCTGTTTTCCGTGCTGTAGATTATCTGTACACAGGGAAAAACATTGGGAAAATTGTAGTTGAATTACCTCACCTTGTCAACAGCAAGCTGTAAAAACAGAACAATGATATAAATCACAAAAGTAAACGGTACTTTCTGCCTGGAAACTCTAAAACATGTTCTAGCTATTGGAAAGCATATTAAAACAGTACAAAGGTGTTGGTAAAACGTTTTCATTGCACAAAATAAAAAGCACTTCTTTAGGCATCTCATTGTTTCAGAATTAACCTTACCAATCCCATGAACACAAAAACTTTCCAGTGAAGAGCTTTTCCTTCTATTGATCTGTATAAAATAATGTTTACTCTTCTTAAGTTTTTAAGAATGAAGGATGTATTTTTTTCTATTGTAGATCTATTTTTGGATATCAGAAAAGTAATTTTATTTTGTTAATTATTTTCATATATACATATACTAAACATGACGATAATTTAAATCTGCTAATTTTTTTTGCATTTGTTATAATTTGAAGTATGTACAGAAAATAAAAGCTATTAAAGAGAAGCTGTGCAAGCTTGATAATGTTAGTCAAATACTATATATGAAGCATGGTGAAATGTACTACAGATTTCTGAAACTTATCAGACTGCTACACATAGCTACCTCTGTGTTTTCCCATGTTCCTTATTTTCTGCCTACTTCTGTACTCGGTTTCATGGTCCAAGAAACCTTTAAAAAAACCACAAACAAACCTTTGTGTTTGTACATTTTATAGGTTTTTTTTCCATTTTGGCAGTGAGCTTTGCCACCGAATAAAGGTCTTGCCAAGAGTGTAGAGATCCTTGCAAAAAAAAAAGCACATTAGCTGTTCCAAATAAACTTGTGAGATTTTTACATTTCACATAACCTTCTGTTTCAGTTTTATATCAGAAATCATGTGATTGCCAATTTCCTAGGTATACTTTTTTTTACTCTGATAGAATGCTGAAATATTATGCTTTTCCTTTTTTTTTTTTTTTTTTATCCTCCCAATTATTATTTTTTTTTTTTTTTATTATTTAGAATCTGCTAATATTTTGTTAACTTTCTGACCCTGTGTTGTATTTACTATAGTTACTAAAGAAATAGAATATGAGAATTTTCATAACCACCAGTATTCATTTGATCTCATCTACGATATTTGCTTACAGCGGTAGGCTACGCTATATACACGGGTATAATTTTTGAATTTTGTTTGCCCTTTGTGGCAGTAAATGGTTGCAGCTTTCTCTTCTTTTTTTTTTTTTTTTTTTTTTTCCTTTGAATCACGATCACATGTCTAAATTTGCCTATTTTCCCCGCTGAACAAGCCAAGACCCAGATATTCTTCACATTTAATTGTCTTGCTGGAATGTTGTAATGCCTTTTCAAATTAAGGTAGATCCCCACCAGGATATTTTTTTTAAAGAAAGCCTGGCCAAGTATAACAGCCATGTCATGTACACATATTATAATTACAGTTTCAGAAGAAAGAGGGGGTCTTTTTTTTTTTTCTTCATAATGACATTTAACGAGTGCATTCTTGATCTTTTTTTTTTTTTTTTTTTTTTTTTTTTTCCGTTTTTTCTTTTTCTCCCTTTTACATAGAGGAGAAAAACTGTTCTGCCATAGAGTATCTGTTAGTATGTATTCTTGTAAGATTTACTCATTTTCAAGGATTCTGATGTTGGAGCTAGCATGCATACACAACAACACAATTTATATGGTAAATGGAACCAAATAATGACTTTACTGAATGTTATGGCTCTGCTGAAGGAAAATGTCATACTAAATAGCTGCCATATTATTGATCATGCCAAAATGTCACAAGTGCACTAAAGACAAATGGCACCTGAGGTTATTGCCACTGTTACACTTTTGAATTATCAAATTTGTCCTGTTAAGGATTTTATCCCCCTTTTATTGCAAGGACTGTTTTTGCAGGATAAGGGAAAAACACTTTATAGAATTGGCATTCAGTGTTGTTAGCTTTTTTTTTTTTTTTTTTTTTGTACTTATTATTTCTTTGGCATTTTCACAGCAGAAGGTGGTCTGTTTAGCAACCAATATTTGTGTATTACGTTCTTCCAACACATTTTTCTTTCATATGTTTTGCATTCGTTTTCCTATTTAAAAGTTTTTCATTTTTATGGGATAAACATGCCAGTAATACACTTCCTGTCCTGCAGAGATAAATCCCGCTCACCATAGTGTATCTGTGGAGGAGCAGCATTGTTACTCTAGGACAGGAAGTGTGTTGGGACTACATAACATTTCCTCCTCTCTTCATCTCCATAACTTAGGCAGGGGTTTTGGATACACTGCTAACTGATAGGAATGCAGCACAGTTTACAGGAAGCTAACAGACCTTTTGGATTTCTAGTAGGAGCTATAGGTATTCTTTTACACTTCTTAGAACAAAACACTTGTGGCTAGAATATCTGTTCAATAACAGACCAAAGGGAGCACATAAGCAAAGTTTATAAAATACACTTTAATTACACACATTTAGAGGGGAACTCTATACAAAAATGATATTTTAGTTATATTGTAGGTGGAACTTTGTGGACTGGAAAATTGCATGGTGCCATTCTCCTTTTGCAGTTTTCAAAATATAATATAAATTCAAAAACAGCAGACTGAGTGGAAGGTCCCTGCAAACCAGAATATGAGCTTTAGTTATTGGACACTTCAGATACTTGTATGTTATTTCTGGTGTACCTAAACTGGACCTAGTGGTGGTGAATAATGGAACAGCATATTCACCAACATTGCAAGTCTTAGTGCCATTCCAGCCATGCTCTAGCATCTCTATTCACATCAGTGTATGTACCCTTGTGAACAGGCTTATGGTGCATGGTATATACAGTAAATGTTGCCACTGATGCAGGTATAAGCATGTGAACGTGCATAAAGCATGAGTTTACCTCTAATGAAGATCAATTGTACCAAGAATATGTGTTATGTCAGTGCATCTCATTGTGCATTTTTGTATCTTTCCATTCCGTTACTTTTGGTGCTGAACGTTGCCACCAAGAGCACGTGTAAAACCCACAGCTCTCGTAAATATCCCTGTGTTGCAAAATGTCCCAAAAACATTCACATTATCGAACACTGATCCTTCCTCCTGCCTGAGCACTTGCCATTAAGTACCAGCCTGTAATGTCTCCTCAGGGCCAGGCAATTTTTCAATATTCAGTGCTGTGATACATTGACAATTATTAAAGTCATGCATCATGAGACTCAGATGTATTTTATACTATTTTTTGAGACATATTGTATACTGTAGAGCTTGTTTTTGGCAGTATTTAATAACCACTTGATTTATTTTTTAGTGTAAAGAGGACAAAAAAAAAAAAAAAAACTGATTTCCTGACTTTGTCATAAAACAGATTTAAAAATGTGTCTGTAAAAATGCTGTTTATAAATGGCATGGGGAAAATAAATTCAAAAATATACCACAGTAGAAAGGTGGTTAAACTAAACCCTAAAATAATGCATTAAAGTGGTTATAAAGCCTAACCATTTTTTACCTTAACCACTTGCCAATCCACCATGGTGCATATACTGCAGCGGGGCGGCTCCTAAAGGCGCAGCAACGTACCTGTACATCCTTGCTTGTATCCAAGTTTTGGGCATGTATGCCCCCACCCTCCTACTTTCTGTGATTTGACACAGCAGGAGTTTGTCAACAAAGGTCTCTGGGCTGTGATTTGACACAGCCAATCAGCAGGTCTTGGCCATGAGTCATTGGCTAGGATCTGCTGACAGACAACACAGGGCTCTACAGGGAATCATTCTGTAGTAAAAAGCAACACACATTACACGTTGTTAGACATACAGTTAACCCCTTGATTTTTCCTAAATGTTAACCTTTCCAGCCAGAGTCATTAGTACATTGACAGTGTATACTATTAGCACTGATCACTGTATTAGTGTCAGTGGTCATCATATGTCAGATTGCCCGCCGCACTCCCACTATAAGTCGCTGATCACTGTCATTACTAGTAAAAAAAAATAGCCATGGCCAAAAATATTGGTACCCCTGCATTTTTGTCAGATAATGCACCACTTCAACCAGGATATTGTTGAAATTAGAAATATTTTTGCATTCTCATGTTTATTTCTTTTGTTTGTATTGGTATGACATACAAACGTGGCTAAACAAAAAGCCAAATCTGACACATTCCGCGCACAACCCCAAAAATGGACTGGACAAAATTATTGGCACCTTCTCAAAATTGTGAGAAATAATTGCAGTCCAAGTTTGTGATACTCCTGTAATTTTGTAATTAAACTCAACTGTATCAATTAACAGGTGCTGACAATATAGAAATCACTGTCAGCCAGTTAAAATGGTGAAAATTTTACTCAACCTTTCTGCTGTGTTCCACATGGAGCATGGAGACGAGAAAGAGCAGCAAAGAATTGTCTGAGGATTTGAGAACAAAAATTGTGGAAAGCATGAACAATCTTAAGGTTACAAGTCCATCTCCAGAGATCTAATGTTCCTGTGTCCAACATTGTCAAAAAGTTTACAGCTCATGGCACTGTAGCTAATCTCCCTGGATGTGGGCAAAAAAGAAAAAATGATCAAAGATTGCAGTGAAGGATTGTTAAAATTGTGGATAAAGAACCTCGATTACCTTCCAGACAAATTCAAGCTGACCTTCAGGCACAGGGTACACACCTGTGTCAGCTCGCACTATACGTCGCTATCTGCATGTTAAGGGACGTTACGGTAGGAAACCCAGGAGGACTCTCTGCTGACACAGAATCATAAAAAGCCAGATTGGAGTTTGCCAAAACTTACCTGAGGAAACAAAATCCTTTTGGGAGATTGTGCTGTGGCCAGATGAAGTGAAATTGCAGCTATTTTTAGCAAAGCCCATAAGCACACACACCTCCAAAGGCCCCCACAATACATAATTGTGGGGACCTTTGGAGGTCTGTACAGTGTTTTTTGCAGTATTTTAGGACACCATTGGGGTCTGTGCAGTGGTTTTTCTTTTAAAATGCCAGCAAATGTCAGATCCGCCCTGGCTTTTTATTAAAAACTTTTTTTGCTTTGTAAATGTCAGTGATTTCAAAACAGC